GGGGTGGCTGGGTGATAGACATTGCGGAGGGTATGTGCTATGGTGAGCACTGTGAATTGTGTAAGACTGTTGAATCACAGATCTGTACCTTTGAAACAAATAATACATTATATGTAAAAAAAAAAAAAAAGAAGATAGCAAGAAGGGAATAATGAAGGGGGGTAAATCGGAGGGGGAGACGAACCATGAGAGACTATGGACTCTGAGAAACAAACTGGTTCTAGAGGGGTGGGGGTTTGGGGGAGCAGTTAGCCTGGTGATGGGTATTAAAGAGGGCACGTACTGAATGGAGCACTGGGTGTTATACACCAATAATGAATCATGGAACGCTACATCAAAAACTAATGATATAGGGGCACCTGGGTGGCTCAGTCGGTTAAGCGACTGCCTTCGGCTCAGGCCATGATCCCAGGGTCCTGGGATCGAGCCCCGCATCGGGCTCCCTGCTCCGTGGGAGGCCCACATCTCCCTCTCCCACTCCCCCTGCTTGTGTTCCCTTTCTTGCTGTCTCTCTCTCTCTAATAAATAAAATCTTTAAAAAAAAAAAACTAATGATATAATGTATGGTGATTAACATAACATAATAAAAAAAAGTAAAAAGAATAATAAATAAATAAATAAAATAGCAACTCCCTATTAAAAAAATGTGTTATGGAGGTGTTTCCTATACCAATTTGACGTCACAAAATAAAAACAGACACAATTCACTACGTTAGTATACTAAAATATTTACATTTTAGGATGCCTGGAGAATTGCATTTATGTTTGAATGTCTACACAGGTCATTTAGTCTGCGTCGGGGCTCTTCTCCTCCCATCAGCCCACCTTCCACATGGAGGCTTTCCATGTCATCCTCCATGCACCCCATTTCTAAATTAGGTCTCTCATTCTCTGAGCACCTCGAAAATTTCCTTGATTGAATTTATACAGTTCAAACAGGACATGACCAAGTGTGTCTTCTTCTGTTCCTTGCATGTAGTATAGTGTCTAAACTTTCAGTAGGCACCAACTAAATGTTTCTTAAACGAATGGAATGTATGTAAAATCTATGTCTATGCACAGGAAAACAATAAGGGAACACAGACAATAAAAATAACTGATTTCTTAGGGTGATGGGTAAATGGGTCATTCACTGTCTACCCTTTTTTGTGATGTCTATTTAAGGTGCCAAATACAGGGGTGCCTGGGCGGCTCAGTCGTTAAGCGTCTGCCTTCGGCTCAGGTCATGATCCCAGGGTCCTGGGATCGAGCCCCGCATCAGGCTCCCTGCTCCGCGGTAAGCCTGCTTCTCCCTCTCCCACTCCCCCTGCTTGTGTTCCCTCTCTCGCTGTGTCTCTCTCTGTCAAATACATAAGTAAAATCTTTAAAAAAAATTAAAAAAAAATAGGGGCGCCTGGGCAGCTCGTTCGGTTAAGCAGCTGCCTTCGGCTCAGGTCATGATCCCAGGGTCCTGGGATCAAGCCCTGCATCAGGCTCCCTGCTCGGCGGAGAGCCTGCTTCTCCCTCTCCCTCTGTTTGCCGCTCTGCCTACTTGTGCTCTCTATCTCTGTTAAATAAATAAATAAAGATCTTTAAGAAAAAATAAAAAAATAAAAAATAAAATAAAATAAATAAAAATTAAGGTGCCAAATACATAGATACTCATTAACTAATTGATTGAGACTAAATACAATGAAATGGGGGGATGCATTTCCCTCCCCAAGAGGGGACGTTTAAAGATGACTTATGACAATGGTAATAAGGTGAGAAGGGAGAGTGGCAGCTATAATCACCACCTAAAAATAGCAAAAGGTCTACCACGTGGAAGAAGTATCCTACAGGTGGAAATTATACAGAGGGTAATTTTCAGCTTCATAAGATATATTCTCTGACTTAAAAAAAAATAATGAACAGTGGTGGGACTGATTTTTCTGGCTTCAAAGGTAAAATCTGAATGTTATCCTCAGAGGGGTATTAAAGCAAGAATACAAGTGGTACAGTCCTGGAGGATGACTCTTAATTTATGGCCTTAAAGACATCAGGCCTCTGATTCTACACGGTTCAGCTTAAGGTCATTCTCCACTTAGGAACTGCTTCAGGGCTGTGGGAAGCTTCTGGTGTCCCCACCAGACAAGTTGACTTCTAGATTTTCTTTAGGGACATAGAAGATAGGCCGACAGGTAAACTGAAGAGATGGCCATTTGGAAATTGATAAATCACATTAAAGGAATACTCAGGCCTTAACAGCCACGCTGCTCCCGTAATGTAAAAGAAGGTTAGAAAAGTTTGAGGAAGAGCTCTAGACAAGTAGGAAACAGAAATAGAGTTAATGAAACACTAAAATGCAGAGTAGAGAACAAGGTCATCCAGAAAGCTACTGATGACGCCTTCCCAGCTACTTCCTGATGTCCACCTGTGGAATGTTAACGGATTAACAGCTGCCAAAGATGGAAAGGAACTCAAGGAGCATTTAGGCTGATTTTCTCATTGGGTGGATACAGATGCCAAAGCTCTCAGACACAGACTGATGTGCCTAAGGTCACCAGCTGAGTAGAGTCAGGGCTGGGATAATGGCCTGGTTTCTGTGTCTTTTCATCCAGTGCTCTTTCCACTATAATCTGTCCCAACCTCTCCTACAAAGCTGTCTTGGGACATAAATAGTGGACAAGGGGCTCTTTGGAAGACACACTTTAGTCTAGAGTCCACTCCCATAAAACTAAAGAGTTGGGTGAAAACCTCAAAAGGGCCTTCAGAGGTTCCAAGGGACTCCCAAGGACACAGTGATGAAAATGCTTTCTGTGACAGAGAAGAGGTCCTTTTTCATTTAATCGTAACACAGCTTAAATATATCAAAAGGTAGTCACATTTCTCCACCAGAGAATAGTTCATAACCATGAGAGACAAGGGGCATTTCAGAAGATGGTGTGGAATTATCTATTGTTATGTCATTCTATGCTGTTGTATTGTTATATCATTCAGCCCTATTGTTATGGGCTGAATTGAGTCCCCTAAATTCATATGTTGAATACCTAAACTCCAGTAATTCAGAATGTGACCGTATTTGGAGACAAGTCTTAAAAGAGGTAATTAAGGTAAAATGAGAATGGTGGGCCCTAATCTGAAATAGGACAGAGATGATTCAGAGGGGAGACCATGTGAAGACATGGAAATAAGATGGCCATCCACAAACCAAGGAGTGAGAAATGAGACCAACCCTGCCAAAACCTTGATCTTGGAATTCTAGCCTCCAGAACTGCAAGAACACAAATTTCTGGTATTTAAGCCACCGTCTGTGGTGTTTTGTTTTAGTAGCCCTAGCAAACCACTGCTCCTATTAAACAGCAGGAAACTGTGTAAAAACAAAACAAAAACACTCATAATCCATAAGCCAGATGGGAATTTAAAAAACAAAGTAAGGCTTGGAAGCTAAAAGGGGACCTTGGGAAAAAAAAGTAGCCAAAGATCAAGCCTCAAAAATGATTATTCTTCAGAGGCGCTTCAGTTTTTTTAAGTTTTTTTTTTTTTCAGAGCAAAAACAGTATTAATCCATGGTAATAGAAGAATAGGTATATTATGGAGTAAAATGCAAAATCTACATGAATTTTCAAGATTAAACAAAGTGGATTTGAAAGAAATTTTGCAGTATTGGTGGGGTTCTTTGGATTATAGTCTTAGATTCCCAGTGATACGGTGTTTATTTGCTTTGTAGGGGAATTTTGGTGAAAAAGTTTGAAAGGCATTGTTCTAAATACATTTGATATCTCCCAAATATTCTTTCTTCCATAAGGCATCCTAAGGCTTTCTTCTGTGTCAGGAAGAAAGGAACTCAAGGCCTTGAAAGATGCCAAGAATAACAGAAATGAATGGGTCTGCTCTCCACCCTGCTCATTGTGTAGGGAAATACATGCTTTCAGGTGGGGCAGAAATGCAGGCAGGTTTTAATATCAGGGAAAAGGCACAAATAAACAAGGCTCCATCATTAGATAATCATGATATATGCCAGGGTTTGAAAAGGAACCACTTATGGAGAAAGTTCTCAGGAGTACAACCATTTTTCTCTGCACACCTCTTAGGCAACCTCTGCTAATCTACTGAGGTGAGGTGTAACTCTTTCCAGATGTTTTCTTCCCTTCCACTGATGCATCATCCAGGAACTAAAGGGAAAAGAGAAAGTCATCACCAAGAATCAGGCTACCTTAACATGCAGGTGTAGTTGCCCGTGTCATTGAGGAGGGTGGGTCGGAACCAGAGCACGTCTTTCTCCTTACTGATGCGGTTGTCAGGGAGGCGGAAGTTAATCGGCTCCTCCAGGTCCCGGTCCTGCCTCGTCCAATACCAGATCAGAGTAAGGCCCGCCGAGTGGGCTGTGCTGTAGTTGTATTTCAAGAAGTGTTCAAAGAGTGGGCACTTGATGCGAGCTGGCTCATCTTCAAACACTTGGATCTGCCTCATGGTATCAAGTCCCCAATCATCACAGCGTTCTGGAATGACCAAAAAGAAAAGATGAAGCCAGTGAGACATCTCATGTTAAAGGCCTGGAGAAAACACACCTCAGGACACCCAATTTTTTCCAGAAACCCCCTTGTCTGGCTATGTTCAGTAGCCTCTCTGTAATAATAGCATGGGCGTAGGCACCTGTGGCATGAAGAAATGACTTCTCCACCTTCCTTTATCATCTTTTCATTACCTCTTGGATAATGATTTGATCTGATAACTTGATCCTGTCGTACCCTATAATGTATGGGGGAGAATCTCACCTGAAAACGCAGTCATGTGCTCTTTCACCCTCTGAAGACAGACGAGGTTCTGAGGGGAAAATTATAACTGAAAAGACAACCCTCCAAGACTCTCAGTTCTTCCCAGGTCTCCTGATTTGGGGGCTAGATCTGCCCAGGCGAAGATACCCAGGCAAAGATATCTACATCATAGACTCAGGAGCAAAACTATATATGTAATAAATAAAATGAAGTATGTCACTAAACTTTATGGTTGCTTATTAAGGCAATGTTTTTGTGGCAGCAGATAATTGAGAGAACAACTAAATTTGTGGTTACTTTAATTTTGATAAAAGCAAAGAATTTGAAGCTTTATGACTTGCAGAAGGATTTGTCAGCAATAAATCCCTAGGTAAGTAATAGATCTCTGAGAAATTTAACAAACTGGCTTTTCCAAGTCTCAGCAAATTACTATTATTTATAATTGCTATGCTTTTAATAAGAAACAGCTTTTAAAATCCAATATACAAAGAAAGAATTGGGAAGATCAAAATGTTGTTCACACCAACACAAACATGATAGTATTTTTTTAATAAAACATCTATCTTACCAGATTCTTCAAATACATTTTCATTAAAGCTACAAAGTTGCAGAATCAGCTCATTCAGTTTATAGGAAATTACAACCACAGTTTTTCCAGATGTATATGCCAGACTGAATATATACAACCATTTTCACTCCTTTCTGAAACTTCACTAAAACTAAAATAATTTTTTCAAGACATAACCCCAAGTAAGAGCAAAAATAGGAGAAAAGATAGTAACAACATCAAAATGGACAAGCTGTAACCAGTTCAGCCCATTTAAATAGGTAAATCCTAAACCAGCAGGGAAAAGCTGGGGAGCACACCTATGTGCATTTCAGAATACTGGGAAGACCCAGAAGTAACTGCCAACCCCAAGATAAGGAATCACCATTGCCATTAGCCCAATATCTCTGGGTTCTCTTCCTAGGCATATTGTACGAATCTGCTTTTCCGCCCCTCTGGAGGAAGGGCCATGTTACCGAGTTTGGTCAATATGATGTAGTGAGTGTCACTTGTGTTGATTATCTTAAGGGCTAGAGCATATTTTATCATGCTCCATTTTCTTCTGCCCCGGCAAATAGAAAAGGACAGAGACTAAGCCTCCTTTAGCTTGGGTCCCTTGATGACATACAGCAAAAGAAGAAAAAAAACAAAACAAAACAGAAGAGAACCATCAATTAAATAAGTTGATGAAAACAGACTTACCCCACAAAAATATTTTCTAAAATTGTGGAAAAAGAGAAGAGTTTAAAAACTACCAAAGAGTAAGAAAGGAGATAAAAAATGATCACATACAAAAGACAGGAATTGGAATGGCTGTGGAAATTTCAAAAAACAAGACTAGAAGCTAGAAAATAATGAAGCTTTCTTCTTTTTTTTTAACATATAATGTATTATTTGCAGGAAGGGAAAAATGAAGCGGGGGAAATAGGAGGGGGAGATGAACCATGAGAGACGATGGACTCTGAGAAACAAACTGAGGGTTCTAGAGGGGAGGGGGTGGGGGGATGGGTTAGCCTGGTGATGGGTATTAAAGAGGGCACGTTCTGCATGGAGCACTGGGTGTTATACACAAACAATGAATCATGGAACACTACATCAAAAACTAATGATGTAATGTATGGTGATTAACATAACATAATAAAAAAATAATGAAGCAATATAGGTGAAGGGAAATTATTTCCAATCTTGAATCTAAACCCAAGGAAACAATCAAGTGTGAAGGCGGCATTTTCAGACACATCAAGACTCAGTAATTTTCCTTCCCATATGCTCTTTATCAGGAGGCTTCTGAGGGACTTGTTACCAAAATGAGAGGGGGAAAATAAGCAAATTATGGGATCGAAGAAGAGGGGATCCAGTTCAAGAGAGAGGGGAAGGAAATCCGCAGAATAACAATGAAAGAGATCTCAGGCTAACAGCTATGCAGCAGGGTTTAGGGTGAACAAGTGTAAATAGAAGGTAATGGAAATCTCCAGTTAAAAAAATGATGATTGTAACTAATGAATTATCTGATGAAATTAGCACTGTGGAAAATTATGCTAAAAGGCAATTGTAAAGTATGAAAACAGTTACCCAAAAGGTCCAAATTAAAGTAAGCACATGAAGGCAAGGAAATTAATAACTTCCAAAAATAAGAAAGTCAACATAATCACAGTTCATTAATATGTGAAGGCATATTAATTGATTATTGATTTAACCAAATATTGTATTAGTAGATAGAGAGGAAAAGGTAAGTTAAGGAGAGGGGATGGCTATTTAAGAGAGAAAAAAAAAATCTCATTTAACATAATTAAAAAGTGAACAATATAAAGCCCAGGGTTGACTAAATGAAAAATAGCAATATACACAAATTGATTAGCAAAATATAGATAGGAAATGCCAGAATAAATACATAAAATACTTAAAAGTGGTGGCTTCTGAAGAAGAGAGCTAACGGATGTGAGGAAAGTTAAGAAAGAGTAGTTTTTTTTTGTATAAGCCTTTTAATACATTGGCCTTAAAAAAAATCTCCGTGAATGATTTCCTTTGAACATCATTAAAATAATAATTAAGAAAAAAAAAAAGGAAGGCAGTAAGGGAGGGAGGGCATATCTATCATGCAACACAATTGGCAAAGCCATTCTCAGTGTTTAACCACCCTGATCATATTTACTCTCTGTTAGGAAAAAAAAGCCTTGATTTCATTTTTTAATTTTGTATCAATATGCTTTGGCACAGCAGTCATTTCACTGTTGAATCACAAGGTGATAGTTTAAAAGAGAAAGAGAACGACAGGCAGTTGGGCAGCTGACAGTGTCTGGAACTTCACCATATTGTTTGTTATCTGAATGACAAAGATGCTACCGCCTTCTGCATTGCATAAAAATATTCTTTATGCTGTGCCTAAAGGCACCTCTCTCAAGAGCTCTGCACCATTTGTCCAAATCTGGATGACGGCAGAGGCAAAGCGATTAAATGAAAATGATCGTCCTTCCTGCAACCCTACTCTCTAATATATCTCAATTCAGATCGCCCCAACTTGGGCCAGTAGACAGCAGTCTCACGCCATGACTCCCTTAACAGGAACACTGGAAAACTGGAGAGAAAGAGAAAGCCCTTCTGAGGGCTAATGGTACTTTGATTAAAGGAGACTTCCTGACACCAATATTGCAAATTGTCACTTTGTTTGGTCCCTGGAGGTCTTTACAGTCCTGGGCATGATTAATAGTAAGATAGATGACAAGTGACAGGTCAATTTTTCTTGTGTAAAAGTAGGAGAATGCACAGTGTGGAAAGGGAGACAACAGAGAGCTGCTGGGACATCCCACCAAATGGAACTTTGGTGACCACAAGGGTAGATGTGGCAGACACTAGGTAGGTATTCATGAACCCTGGCTGGGGACTACATAGATATCCTTAGCACCTGAACTGGAGCTATTTGATTTGTTTCTGGCCAATGAATGAGGCCAGAAATGGTTCATCTTGAAACTCCCAACATAATCTCTGACGCTTTCTCCTGTCCTCATATGGAGAGCCTGAGGGCCAGAAAAGTTTGAATAAGGTAACCTCACAAGATGGAAGAAGCCAGGATCCCTGTCACTGCTTGGAGCAGAGCTCCACAGAGATTCCATTGCTCTCTCAGGGGGCTGTGGTTGAGTGAAAAATCAACTTCTATTGTGTTAAATCACTGAGATTTGGGGGACATGTTGTTACAATGACTAGCTTCACCTGTCTTGACTACTAAAAGAAGGCAGGATTTTCCTTTTGTAACATAACTCAATAAATCAAGTGCAGACACATTTTAAAATAGCATTTGTTAAAGGCCCTTACATACTAAAATTCAAATACAGATCAATCACCAAGATTTGGGGCTGATTCCTGAGACTTAATCTTTTCAATCAATAATGTGATTCATCTTAAAGTGGAGAAGAGATCATTACACCTGCTAGGTATCTCCCTTACAGAATGTTCCATGGGCCAAATAAACATATCTATAAAGCGAATCAGCCTCCATTACATTAGGGACTGAAAACACACATATCGGTATTCCTAAACATTAGCCAAAAAAAGGTATTATTATTGAGCTTTTTCTTTGGGTTATTTTCCCATTTGAAATTTGTTCTGTGAGTTTTTAAGTTTCCCTTGCCAGCCAGCCACTTGTCAGAGCCTTTTAAATTATTCAATGAACAAATAAAAATAAAATCTATGGCAACAGGCTGGAGTGTCATGTAATACCAAATTAATTATATGATTCACGGCAGGCACCAGCCGAAGAAAAGACTGGGGAAAAGGCTGTTATGCAAATAGATTTGTCTCTAATACCAGCAAAGGGAATTTAGCAAATTATTGGCACAGAGAATTACTTTTTGTGTAGAATGTCCCTTCTTACCCAGTTGACTCCACAGTGGAAGTCCTCTCTAAATTGGCCCTCAACATGGGGAGCCACAAAGTCATCGTTTTCCTCAGCGAAAGGATTTCTTAAGGCTGAGGCTTGGTGGCATCGAGAACCAATGGAATGTGCAAAGCCTCCCAAAGCCAAGTCACTGGAAAATCCAACCCACGCTCCTGACAGCAATTAGCATTTATATAGCAGGGTATACATTTTAACTAATTAATCTCACAACACCCTCTTGGGCTTTCATGCCCATTCCCACATTACATGCCAGGAAACGGAGACAGAGAGATTAATTGACTTACT